ATACAACTAGCAAAAAAAACTTACCGGGCTCAGTGGCTGCAAGGTCATCTGAGCATATACCTCATCCGTCTCCACATCTGCCTAAAGTAAACAAAATTTTGAGTTTCTAGAGACCTGCCTGTAAAGTACCCAGAACTGGAAAACAAAACTAAAGATTCCTTACATGCATTGTCAAATTGTGAAGCTGACAGATAAGTTGTGGAGGTAAGCTTGGGTAGTTCGGTATGTGGGCATCCACTTCCTTGTTGGTTGATGCAGCAACCTACATAGATTTATGAAGATAAGCAGAAGAACATTATTAATTATTCTATTTCTCACCCAGTCCTTGATTAAAATCATAATCATTCAATTTTTAACATGAAATCCAACTGTTTAGGCTGCAAACAGGCATTTAAATATGCAAGCACCCCAGATCATACAAGCATTAAGATCTATTGGGCAAGGAGAAGTAGAGGATTCAAGCTCTTCATATAGTTCAACGCTATTCAAATATCATTGTTGGATGCTTAACTTATGCCAGGATATTTATTCCAAAAAGAGAAAGAAGGATGTTTACAAAAATAGACAAACACAAAACGAATTTTCTTTGCTCAGAAAGAAAGAACAAATTATAGGGTAAACTTCAACACATTGTCTTCCATGGGTAAACTTCAAAATCTAAAAGCAAGAAGCAGGCCATAACCACTCATTGAAGACGGACCTGTTCACTGTGACCCTGAGGGAAATATACCACGCGGCTTCCAACAGCAGGTAGGGAAACAAGAGGACCCGCACATGCATGCCAAAGTTCAGAATTCAGACATCTCTGTTCCCCTGCAGATCCAATTCTACGTCAACATAAATTTCCAAAGGACTATACTAGTGGGTTTGAAAGTCTTAATTACAATTTATAACCACTAATTCGAAAATCAATATGCAAGTATGACATCTCAGAATTTTTAAACAATGACAGAAATGGTCCCCTATTATGGGTCTCTGGCCACTCAATCATCATATGAACACAAACATTATGGTAAATGTCCTCTTAAGCTGAAAGCAGATCACCTTGCACATGAATCAAAGGAAAATGACCATACCAAATTGCAAAAAGAAAAAAGAAAAGAAAAGAAAAAGAAAAAAGGGGAAAGAGACTAAAACCCAACAATATAAAGTGGAATTAATGATATCTCAGATCCAACCCATCCCAGTATTTTAGTGCAGAGCCCCCAAGAAATGAATCCAGCCACAGAAGCCAGAACAAGAAGGTTTTGCAGCTAAACTAAGACACTAATACTCTAAACCAAGAGAACAGGGTTAAGACACTAGTACTCTAAATTCAACAAGTTAAAGTGAAAAAAGGATAAAGGAAGCAGAGAATATACAAGCAAACACAAGTTATACCTTCGGGTGACTGCTGAGTGAAACCAGAAGAAGAGAGCCTCATTTCAGCAGATTCAAGAATAACTTCTAACCCCAAATTTGGACCACAAAAGCAGCCAAAAACAATTACACCACAATAGCTCAGCACTAAATCCCCCAAACCTGACACCCAAAGAACTGAAAAAACCCTTCTTCTTGCACTTCCTTCCCACCCAAAAACACCATACTACTTTCTCTTTGCCCCCAAAACCCACCTCCAAATCTGAATGTACTCAAAATCACCTCCACCACCACCTACAAACCAAACACTTTGCTAAGAAATAAATATGATTTGTGTATACAGAGCTTAATAAGATGTTCATGAACAAAACTAGAAACAAACCCACCCACCCCCCCTCCCAAATCTTCAACCGAAACCGGTTTCGCTGCAAAACACAATCGATTTCAGCCTCATCCGCACTTGATCTTCCCCACCCAAACCCAAGTACACCAATCTGCAACTAAGAAATTCATGTGACAAGCCTTCTTCACCCAATTAACCGGCACATTTCAGCTCAAATCCCAACAAAACACACCACACGGCCCCAATTGCTCGCTTCAACTTCACCAAATCCCAAATTGACAATAGTACTGAGCTCAAAAGCTTCAATAACCAAGAAATCAAGGCCAAGTCAAGAACTTTTCAGATCTCAGCTTCACTAAGCCAAACCCAGAAGCAAGGAGACAGAGAAATCCCCGATTTTGAGCTATTCGCAGGGCCGAAAACGAAAACCCTAAAAAACCCAGATCCCCAAAAACAAAAATTCACAGGGTCAAATCGCCGAATCGAGCATGGTCAGAGAAACTTCGTACAGTGATACTCAACACAAAGCACAGTTTTCTTTTCCTGTCTTTTTTTTTTTTAAGGACCAAAGCACAGTTTTCACACAAACACGTACAGCAGATATATATATATATATATATATAGGGATTGAAGTGAAAACCTAGGGTTTTGCTATAGTTTCTTGGAATGGAAATGGTGAGAGAGAGTGCATAGTACCCAGTTATAATACTTCAATCTTGTGATTGCTCTCTCTCTCTCTGATTAACTCCTCTGTGCTCCAATCAATCAAAGAAAGTACACAAATTAATATTATTTTTCCAACGAGCCAATTGTTTTTCAATGTCATTTTTATACATGGTACATACAGAGTACATATATACAGAGAGACGGAATACACAGAGAGGGGATGTATAGAGAGAGAAACTTTTTCAAAATTATTTTTTCTTTTAATTTTTAAGGGTAATTATCAATGGATTAGGAAGCTCTCCGGTCTCAAATCAAATAGGACTGTCCAAGTCGGCTTATAGAGCATATTTTTAAGGCTTTATTTGGGGATAGATTTTTTTAATAATTTTTTAATTTTTTAATTAAAACATAATGTAAAAAAATTAATATATTTAGAATAATTTTTTAATTTTTTATAAAAATATGTATAAAAAGTAAAAAGAAAATGAATCTTTAACTTTTTAATTTTTTTAATAATTTTTTAATTAAAAAAGTCACCTGTCAAGTGTGGCCTAAGTTTCATTTTTTTATATTTTAGAATTCGTTTTATATATTATTTTTATAAAAAAAATTAAATTAATTAAATTATAAAAATTATGTATTTGGATTAATTTTATATGAATTATTTATTTTTTATCGTCAACTTTTTTTATATAAAATTAATCAAAATACATATTTTTGTTATTTGATCGACTTAATTTTTTGTAGAATGATTTACTCGAAAAATCTTAAAATGTAAATGATTTAAATTATCAAAACGGGACAAAAAAATAAGTCCAATAAACCGGACAACATCTCTCTAATTTGATTTGGGATTGAAAAAAAGCCAATTCCATTATAAATACACTCTTAAAATTTGTTTAAAATATATTATTCTTTATAATTTTGAAAATTACATTTCAGCTTTTGATGTTTTAAATTTCATAAGATATGGTATATTTTATTAATAAGTTATCAAGTCAATTAATAGTTTTTATTTTTGTCAAAATTTATTTCAATTAATAATTCTAATAATTTTATTATTGCATAAGAAAATAATTAGAAATTTTATTTTTTCAATTAATTCTGCTAATAAAAAATTCTAACAATGGAGTATATAGTTTTTGAAACCACAAGTAACAATTCATATTTTAAGCAAATCTCAAGGTGTATTTCTAATTTATTCGTTTTAATTTGATAAAAATAATTAATTTTTTTTTTTTACTTTTATAAATTATTTTCACTTCAAAAAAATATGAGAAAATTACATTAAGAAAAAATTCAGGATTTGAACATTGTAACAAAGAAATTCTAAATTTTTAATTTTGTCAATTTAAATACTTATCTTCTGATTTATTTTCAATCTAAGCAATTCGTCTATTTTTGTTAAGTAAAATTGACCTAAAAAAAAATTTTAATTATTAAACTCAATGTAGATATACATAAAATATCTATAATGCCCTTTTCATTTTAATAACTAAAATATTTATTTATTTTCATTAATTTTACTTAATAAAAATAGGTAAAAATTAATTTGTGTGTTAAATTAAAAGTGAGAATGTATAAATATATCAAATATGTTAGAAAATTACATACAAACCCCAAACTGACACCAATCACACCCATCAGCTAGTTGAATCGTGACAATGAACTCATTACAATTTAACACAATATTTTGAGATTTTTTTTTTTTGTGATTTTTTTTATTTATAAAAATATGTACAAAAAAATGAAATAATAATTTTATGCATTGTAATAATTTTTTGATTTTTAACTAAAAACTAAGGTTTCCAAACAAGAACTTAACTAACTACTTAACTTTCATGGCCGTGATAATGAATACACCAATAATAGCATTGATTTGGAATATAGGTTGACCTTTAGTTATTTTAACTTAGGCTAAAAAGTCTGGTTTGATATGAATTTTTAAATTTTTTTAATTTTTATAAAAGAAAAAATAAAATGATTATGATTAAGTTTTTTAAGTAGAATCACTCTTTATCTTATTCGTTTTTTAATTTATTTTGTCTTTTTATGACTATTTTAACCCCAAACTATTATGTCAAACGAGTGTATAATACTCTTAGTATTTTTAACAATATTTTTAGTTATGATCAATAAGATTTGAATGCTAATGTATGCGCCATAATAACTTTCATATTAATTATTACTGGATTTAAGAAATTAATTATGGGTTATTTTGAAAAATTAGTTAAAAGTTAATTTTTTGACTGTTTAAAAAAATGTGTAAAAAAATAAAAAATGATACTACTTAAAATAGATTAAAAAATAATTTTTGACTTTTAGCTATTTTTTCAAAAAAGGCCTATGTTTAAACATTATTTACAGTAACAATTCTTTGTTTTTAAAAATTTTGAAGTAAAACGTCTTTTGGTAGGGGATTTCACATGTGAATTAAAAAGCTAAGTCAAATAAATATTGTAACATTAAAACCTCTTTTGTGGTGGGAGTTTTTTTTTACCGTGATGCCGAGAGATTGATTGGAAGGTGTGAGCAGCGGTATTAAGGTCAAGTTTAGGAAAACTAAATAAGTGTACTTTTTGACTTTTCTTGTATTATGTGTAGAAAAAGTAGAGAGGAGATGTTGATAGATGTGACTCAAAAAAAATAAAAAGATGAAATAAGTGCACTTTTTTAGTTTAGCCAAACTTGACCTAAGAGAGTTTATAGTGCATCTTATTTTTTTTGTACTTTTAATTTTTATGTTTTAATGAAAATTTTACTTTATCGATAAAATAAAATAAAATAAATCTTGTAGCATTTCAAAACCAAAAAAAAAAGCTATTTCCAAAAGCAGCTTTTTGATTAGTGGTAGTGGTAGTCCAAGTTGGAAGCTAGCAAAAAGCATAAAAAAAAATGATAATGAAGAAGAAGAAGAAAAAAAAGAAAAAAAGAATTAATGGGTAATTTCTATTATTCAAGATGGAGAAGGATAGGGTATACAAGATTTACTAAATTTTTTATTTTTATTTTTTTGGTGGAGTTTAGTTTCTCAAAAAGTTATTTTATTTGGTATATTTTAAATTTTTAACTTTTAGTATAAGCAAATTTGACTCATTTTAACTTTTTAACTGAAAATGAGTTTAGCAAATAAGTTAAAAATCTAAAAGACATTTTTTTAAATAGTAAAATTGACTTTGTAAGCTAATAAATTGAGTTTTAGTCATGGCCACATAAAGCGTGGTGAGTGCAATGAGAACTTTAAATGACTTATTTAAAAGTTTTTGAATGAAAAAGAGACCAGAATGGAGATGTTGTTCCAAACTAAGGGACGCTTTCATAATGAATTTGATTCGTACCTAGAATTTGTTCTATATATATTGATGAATTTGTGAGTAACTTTTTTTTATTATATTATTGATGAAAGAAACAATCAAAACTCACCTTAAGAAAAAACTAAAAATAAAAATGGAGAATGTTAGTCAGTATTTTAATATTATAATGATCTTCCGAGCTCCAAGATAAGTCTTCTCCAAGTCTTTACTAGCCTTATCTATCTAAGTCTTCTCCCAGTCTTTGCTAGACTTATCCATCTAACTCTTCTTCAAGTCTTCTCATTCCTATCCATTCCAAGGTCTTTGTCAAGTCTCTTGTTATCTTATCCACCAAGAACCTTACTTATTAAGTTTTCTTTTCTATATATTTTGAACATATGTCATATCTTAAATAGACACGAGAGAAGAAGTTTTTGTTCCTTAGAAGTTTTGTTCCTTTGTTATGTCTAGTGTGAGATTATCAGGCAAATAAAAAGGGTGTGTGATAAAGTTTTAGGTTCAACCAATTGTGCAGTATTGCTTAACTATACGACTTAGTCGAGCTGTTGTATCCTGGGGGGACAAGTCAAGATTTTTCTGCTGCACCAGTGTGAGGCTTTGTCTAACCACAGAGGGCTTGAATCTTCTTAAAGAGAGCGAATTTCCCGCGCCTCAGCCCTTTCAATAATTATTGTAACTTTATTTTTTGTATTTTCTGGTATTTTATTTGTAATTATCACCAACAATTTTAAAGAGATTCAAATAGTAAAAGTTCATGGAGCCAGTACTGGAGAAGCCCAACGACAATACCAACGATCTCAGCAAGTCCTTCCTATTCAAGGGAGCTCATTTCAAGAGATGGAAAGGTAAGGTGCTTTTCTACCTCAGTCTCCTCAAGGTGGCCTATATCCTGACCGAGAAAAATCCAAGCAAAGTCCCCACTGAAGAGATGACCGACGAGGAGTATGCTGCTCATCTTGAAAAAATCGAGAAATACAACACAAATGAGTATAAATGTCGATACTATCATTTGAATTGTCTTTCAGATCAATTTTACGATTATTATGATACTACTTACACCACTACCAAGAAAATTTGGAAAACCTTGCAGAACAAATATGACACTGAAGAGGCAGGCACTAAAAAATATGCTGCAAGCCGTTTTTTCCGCTATCAGATGATAGATGGAAAATCAATGGTGGAGCAAGTTTAAGATTTTCAGATGTTAGTAGCTGAAGTTAGATCTGAAGGCATCAAAATTGGAGACAATCTTGTTGTAGCAGGTATTGTTGACAAACTTCCATCATCTTGGAGGGAGTTCCAGAAGTCGATGCGTCACAAGCAAAAAGAGACGTCCTTGAAGACTCTAATCACACAGATTCGGGTGGAGGAAGAAGCACGAGGACAAGATGCGCTTATGACACAAGAACATTCCACTACAAAGGTAAATTTAACTTCTGGAAATACTTTACCTAAAGGTCGATTTCATAAAAATAGTCACTTGAAGCCAGCTAAGAAAATTTGGAAAAATACTGGAAGGCCACAAAATAAAAATTACCCGAGGCAAAAGAAATGGAACCAAGAACCCCCTTCACAAGATTTGACAAACGTGACATGTTTTATGTGTGGCAAAAGTGGGCATATTGCTCGAACTTGCAAATTTCGAAAACAACAGTCTCGACCACAGGCTAATGTTACCGAGGAACCATTTGTGGCTATGATCACAGATATTTTTATGGTTCAATCTGTAGAAGGGTGGTGGGCAGACTCTAGTGCCAATAGGCATGTCTGCTATGATAAAGATTGGTTCAAAGATTTCACTCCTTTTAATGAGGAGAG